GTTTTCGAGATATTCAGGTGTTCCGGTATATAATATTCACCCTGTATACTGAACTGCATGCACGTGCTTGTTATTGTTAGTGCAAAACGAAATAATATATATATTAATTTATAGATATTAATTTCATATAAAGTTTGTTTCGCGTCGCATACCCCAACGTGCTTCTACTCGCTCCAACGCATTCTGATTGGTTTACGTCACTACGCGGACCAATCAGAGTGCGTTAAAGCGAGTAGGAGCACGTTACGTTACGCGAATGCGACGCGAACAAACCAATAATCAATTTCAGTAATAAATAGTAATACTTTTACATTTTTATATTTAAAATTGTATTGTAGATATAAAATCACTAAATGGATTTGCCCTCATATGAGATTCATATTGCTCGCAAGCATGCGACTTCACGCGTGCGGGTTATATTATTCTCATTTGCGGATCAAAGCTCCCATATAGCACAAAACGTTGAAAAAACGTTGATGAGATATTGCAACGTTGAAGATAGAAATGCAGGTGTTTTTTTTTTTAATAGAATATATGTTGATTTTTCTACATTAATTACAAGATATTGTTGCAATGTTGAATATATATTGAACAAAAATTACAATTTTTTGCAACAATACCTTTATAGAAATATCATACTAAGAATCATTGATAATTACTTATTATCCAGTATTTTTAATACTGAAAATAAGTAATTATCAATGATTCTTAGTATGATATTTTTATAAGGGTATTTGAAGTACATTGAAAATTATATTATTAATAATATTAAGGAAAAATTTGTTATTATACAATAATATTAATAAAATAAATTATTATATAATTTTATTATATTAAGAGGTAACACCACTCTAGCGGTTGAAAAAAAATAATTTGCCTAATTTTGTGAATTTATTGTGGGAAAATGAGAAAAGGAATAGGATTTTCCTTTTAAGGGTTAATTGAGTATGTATTAAAGTATAGAAAGAAATTTTTTTATTGACATTTGTAAACAAAATGGCGGCGATACAGCGTATTTCCCAAATAACTTTTTTTAAAAAGTCCCCCACGGGCGAACACATATCTTGAAAAGTT